ATATGAGCAGTTAGTGTTTATATACTTTATTAATCTGCTGTAATTATGTTATGCAAGATGGTTTACTGAATTGAAAGGTTTTTATCTCCTAGCGCTATTCATTCTTTCATTCTAGATGTCAGTGATGAGTCAATTAAACAACATTTCAGTAAGGAAGAACGTGATGAAATCGATTCCACACCCGGTCCACAGGTGCCTGATATTTCGGATGAAATAAATGAATTTCTGATAAAGTTCCTTGACAATGTAATAATTAATTTTCATGCTACTGACAAAAATGTATCACAAGTCATCAATTTTCTTTCCTGATGTAGTCGACATTGAAAGATATTCGAAAGATTATAAAAGAAACGATGTTTGATGATAATTATGATCGCGAAAAAGATCATGATAAGGATTACATCATTTATGCCATATATTCATTGTAAGTATTTCGGTTCTTGTGACTGGCTTGCACATATATATGTTGAATTGGTTAAATTTATTTTTATAGGTTAAGAGAAATTGAAAACGGAAGCTTGAAAGTAGCTAATTTTGAGGCTTGGTTTAATTGTCACGTATGGAACCCAATCCTCGATCAAGCCTTCGGTGATATGGATGTGATAACCGTCATCAGGTAATTTTTCTTTAAAAATGTAACTTGCTTAATGTATCTGACAAGGTTCCTTTTCTAACAATCTAGAGGGGAAAGCACAAGCTTGGCATCAGGAACACGAAAGAATGCGAAAAGACAATCAGGAAAACGGCGGAAAATGGGTCGCAGAGGCGACTGGATCTTAAGGTTTGTCAATAATGGTGAGAAAGATGAGTTCGGAGCCGGGGAAGCCGGGAAAAGTTGGGTGGATGAACACGGAACGAAATTTCTCAGAGGCAGGGTTAAAGCTACCCAAAACCCTCAAAGACATGCTGGTAAAATTGATGGCAAGAGCACGTTGGGATAAAGAGAGGTGTGCGAAAATTCAAACAGTTGGAGCAATCCACGCTGGTATGTATGATCTTCCTACTTCAGCAAAAAAATCAATCTGTCAAACTAATATCTTTAATTAATAGGTTTGATGATTATGATGGTATACCTGGACAACCCGGAGGGATACATCTGTAGGATCCGACGTAGTGAACCAATGGAAGTTCCAGATAATGCAGAAGAATTTCCTGACATTTTGGACATTTTAGCATCGGTTTTAAATATAAAGGTTGGATTCGTGCTTTTCTTCTTATAGTGATTATGCTATATATGTGTTAATATAAACTGATATATTCATAAATTTAGGCTGTGGTTCGAGAGACGATGAAGGCGGTACATACAAAAAAACAAACCATAAAATCATTTAAAGGAGCTGGGATTCGAAAGCGACCATTAAACGAGGGTGAATTCCAAATACCTTCATGCTTAACAACACCTAAGAAGGCTAAAATATGCGCAGAAGAAAAAGCCCAGAATTCGTATCCATCATCGCCATGTCCTGGATCTTCTGAGTTTGAATTACCGTTAATATAGTTCCGGTTTTTAAGAAAATATCTAGATAGTATCAATTGTTTTTATATCGCAAGACGTGAGTTCAATCCGTTGTCTGTAATTATCATAATAAAGTTCATCGGGATTTATAGTCCATTTTATTCTAGAATACGTGCGTGAATGCGGATGATGTGGTGTGGGTGTATATATATCAGAATATATTTACGACTTTTGATTTTTTGACACTGGAATGTATGTACTATACCACGAAAATTATTCTGAATTTTGTATAATTAAAGTTACATTACACAAATAGTCTTATAGCACAAATAATACATAAGCAAGATTCTGAATGTGTGATTTATTTATATTATCGTGCTATTTGATCAATAAATCCAGCTTTTTAGCAATCCAACTTTAAGGGCATGTCTCATCCTAATCTAATTGATCAGTTGCTTTAGTAAAATCAAAGACCACTTATCAATGATCTTGGATGCTTTTTTTTTTGGATCATCCCTATATTGACGCACAATTCTGCATATGTCTTCTCGGGATCCACTCTCTAGTGGAATTGTAAAACAAAAATTTCATGGCTACGCTGAATCATTTGTATTCTGTATTAATAAAATGACTCTGGTTGATTCACATGTACACATTTTCTTGCATCGGAAAAATACTTATATTTCCATTTTTCGGTTGATATTTTTTTCTTGACGAACTATTCATGATCAGATAACATAGTTAATCCATAAGTGAAATTTTTCTTGGCAGAAACCGTTACCATTGGTAACGATCAAAGTCTTGGCATTTTTTTGCATTTTTTTCTCTGGCTTTGAACATATGTACGAAAAGGCAAGACAGCATCAATGTGGATGTAAATATGGGTAGGACTATGATAGGGAGAATTAAAACTTTTTCATTATCAACTATAACGGCCTTGTCCAAGGAAGACATTAAATACGTAATTGTTAAAGTGCTTCGGGGATAGTTTACCCTGAGCGCCTTCGGCAGTGTATTATGCCACATATTACAGCACCTGTGACTTGCATGTCCGGCAATATCTGTTATAGTGTAAAAAAATAGTGTTCTGAAAACATATATTAATAAAGTTTAATCATTTATTTTTTTAATTGATACATGATTAGCTTGAAATGATTTTTGATCGATACTAACACCACATAATTAGCGGACATGCATGTCCAAAAATATTCGATCGATACTAACACCACATAATTAGTGGACATGCATGTAAATATAAAATTAGCATAGCCGGCTAGATATGACCCTATATAAATCTCGATATGCTCGTAATCGAATAAAAAAATGAATTTTGGATTTACTAGCATGTAGTCGCACAAATAGGCTACAAACCAATTAACCGCTAATCAGTAAATCCGTATAAATTTGAATGGTGATATTATCTATATTATCTAGTATAAGTTGCTAAAGAATTACCAGAATTCGTTAAAAATACTATAAAACTCTGAAATTGCTATAAATCTCTAATTTACTAATAATTAGTTATACTAGTGTAGCTATGCCCGGTGACATGGTTAAAATCATTATAGATAGGATTTATAATAAAATTGTACCTAAACCTATCAATCTCCGCCCTGGATATGATATGGAACATGTTTTTAACTGTTGACCTCAAACTGATAACTATCGATATGAAAAAGTAGTTGAAATAGAAAAACAATATGATTATTTATCTATTATTAGACCTCATGAAACTCCCCAGCAATTGGCTAATCGTGTAAGAGGTTCTCTGCAAGAATTACTTTTTCAATGAGAATATAGTTTATATCATGTGTACTGTCTCTTCGCTTCCTTTGGGCAAGTAAAATCCACAACATACTATATTAATGGTGATTTATATGATACCCCCTTTGAATATCGTAGACCTAGTGTCTATAAAAGTCAGATGGCTATCTGCTTTAAATGCTAGAAATTGGTGAAGATTACCGAAGTAGAGCCTAGAAAGGAATATTACAGTGGCTGAGGAAAATGGGCCTATGAAGTTGAGTCCGAAGATTTGATGAAAAATCATTGGAATTACTCTTGCTTCAAGGCCGAGACCACAACTATAGCAGAAAATATTATGCCAAGTGCTCCAAATTTCGAGCCAGCTTATATTCCACCTTCTGGGCAAGAAATGATTTCACCAACTTCTTATCAATCATCAAATTGTAAAAGTGATACAGGCAAATTATTTATATCGTCGTTGCATATAAAACAGCCAAAAGGCACTGTGTTGAGATTGGGGGATGGGACAGAAATCACAGTAGTTTAACTAACTGATTCTGACTATTGCTTTTAGCTGAAAATTAATATCATATATTATACTTTATTTTTTTGCGTAATAAATAGCTATATAATCTGCATGCATGATCGTCTAGTATAATTGGCCGAAGACGCTATGCATGAAATGCTTCATATACATGAAGAAAAATCTGATTTGCCTATTTCAGGATAGATCCTCCAATATATTGTATAACTATTTTAGTGAACTATCTATGAAGCGGTCTTG